CCGGCGGGCTGCTCCTGCCTCGTTATGGATTAATTAATTAACTGCAGAAAAGCTTCGCCTGCTGCTCAAGCCGCCCGCTTACTGGAATCCGAACACGATTTCGTTTTCAGGGTGACTACTGGAAACGGAGCAGGGAAGGGGAGAGAGAAAACAGCTCAGCCCCCAGTCGGCTCTGGCCTGCCGGGCTCCACGGGAGAACAATGAGGCGGGTGGCACCGTAAAGACCAACCAGCGCAGCAGGGTGGCAGAGCACGTGAGCTACAACGTGCACGGCCGGTGCGCGAGAAGACAGACTCCCAGGGTACCAACCAGCCACGCTGCAAAGGCAGCAACAGCCCCCAGCATCCTTGGCTTTCTAGAGACTTACCCTCCTCGTGTGGGGAAGAGTGAATGCGCTAGAGACCCTCGGGCGGCCCGCTCTCCCCCGCCGGGGCACCGCAGCCTGCGTCTCCTACGCCTCCCCACCCGGCCCTTTCAGAGCGTGTGGATCCTAGAATCCCAGGGCCGGCAGAGATGTCAAGAGGCATCAGGTCCAGCCCCCTGCCCAAGGCAGGACCAACCCCAACTCAATCAGCCCAGCCAGGATGTTGTTAAACCGGGACTTAAACACCCCTAGGGATGGAGATTCCACCCCCACCCCCCGGAACCCATCCCGGCGCTTCCCACCCGCCTCGGGAAATCGATTTTCCTAATATCCCACCTAGACCTCCCCCGCTGCAACTTGAGCCCATTGCTCCTCGTTCTGCCACCTGCCCCCACTGAGAACAGCCTCTGCCAATGCCCCCTAATCTGCCATTAGCCATCTTGGCTACCAGGCGCCCTGTTGACTCAGATCCAGCTTCTCGTCCACTGTAACCCCCGGGGCCTTTTCTGCTGAACTGCTACTTACCCAGTCGGTCCCCAGCCTGTACCAACACTTGGGATTCTTCCGTCCCAAGGGCAGGACTCTGCACTTGTCCTTGTTGAACTTCATCCAGTTTCTTGTGGCCCAATCCTCCAATGTGTCCAGGTCACTCTGGCCCCTCTCCCTGCCCCCCAGCGTATCGACCTCTCCCCCTCGCTTAGTGTCATCTGCCAACATGCTGAGGGTGCGACCCATCCCCTCAGCCAGGTCATGAATAAAGACGTTGAACAAAACCGGCCCTAACAACCCCCTTAGGGCTCTCTGCTTGGGACTGACCGCCAGTCAGACATGGAGCTGTTGAATCGAATTGCTCCCAAAGCGCTGGGAGGGAGGAGGAGGAGGTGGTGGTGCGGGGCAGTGCCCCAGTGCACGAGAGGCATGGGGGGGGGGAGGCAGACGGGGCTGCAGGTGGAACCCCAGGGGGATGCCGGCTGCTGCGGCCTACCCCTCTTTCTGGTTGCCTGTCCCAGACAGACGCTCCCCACGGCTAAGCGCCGGAGCGGGAGCAAAGCGCCAGCCCACAAGCCGGTGCTGGAGAGGAGTCTCTTGTAGCCGTGGGGAAGCGCCGAGTTAGCAGCCACCCACCAAAGTGGCTCAGTAGCGTAGGGTCCCGTCCACCCCCGAGGCCCAGGGCCTGGCTGCCCCAGAAAAACAGGAAAGCAGCAAGGAATGGACGTGCTCCCGGGGAGACTGGCTGTGGGGTGGAGAGGCGGCAGTGGTGGCATTCGGGGAACGGCCAACGGCCCCGGCTGAGCTCAGAGCAGCGCTGCACCTGGCTAGAGCAGGAGCCTGTGACCTTTCAAAGGGCCAGCTCGCTGGTTTGGTCTGTGACCCAAATATTTCCACAGCCAGATCACAGGACCTGCGCCTGTGCACAGACACAGCAGGGTCCAGGGGGGCGGGACAGGCTGGGGGTGCAGGAGGGGGCATGGGGCGCTGGCTCTGGGAGGGAGTTCAGGACTGGGGCTTGGGGTGCAGGCTCTGGGAGGGGGGTCAGGACTGGGGCTTGGGGTGCAGGCTGTAAGGGGGTATAGGATCAGGGGAGGAG